ATCACATATGTATATTTTGCTGTCACATGTATATATTTATAAGCCACTATACCTAAAATAATATTAATGTGACAATGCAGTAAATAAATAAATAAAATACTTCGGTTTATATTTTTATGCTTGTTCAAAAATGTCTCGATATGTTTACAAAAAGATTACTTATTAGTTTTATTTGTAATATTTTTTTTTGTAAACTATACTGCTTCGCTTTATACATGTATTTGAACAATGGTAGCGCGAGCGTGAACGAACGCCAGTCGAGTCGTGAGCAGAAGGGTTAACGGGGAAAAATAAGATCGAGCATTTCAGAAAATCTTTATAAAACCATACGGAGGCATATGAAATATCCAACCGAGATTGATATTTGACTATATTAATACGCTTAAGAACCCTTACACATTTCAAACATGCGCCTCCAATTTCGGGTTTTCTACCAGGTAACCTATCATAAAATCGAATTTTTTTTCCGAATTTCATTACTCAGAAAACGGTTCGATTTTTTTCATTAGTGCAACACAGAAATGTCTTACAGCAGAAGTATCGTTTGTCCGAAAACCTATTATTGGAATAATGATTACACATATGTATTCTTTGGGCAGAAGTTTGTTTGGTCTAATAATGTTTGTTATACTGTCTGTTTTCCATATAATTTAGATTGCTGAAAATTCATTTCGATAAAATTATAATTCTTAGAAATAATTGTACCGCCATACAATTTTACTGTCCAGCTCCAAAATTGTGGACTGTACTGTGCTGGCGCACAGCAAGTCCACTTACGTAATTTTCGTCATACCATTGTGCTATGTTTTTGCTGTAATCTGAAATGTAATTTAAAAACAATGGTGTGGGTTTAAGTTAGGTTAGTATATGAAAAAGCCGCAGGAGCCGAGCGAGCGTGTCGCGGCAGCGGCCGGCGAGTGCCACCCCGTACGACCCCCTTCTGTAAGTTTAGGTTAGGTTAGGATGTGAGAAAGCAGCACGATCGGAATGAGCGAAGCGAGCGACTACAACTCGATCAAATTAACTTGCATCTCGTTTACCATATTTTCTAAAGATGCGAGGTGCTTTAATTTGACGAGTTATATTGTGCGACACGTTCTAATACTTTTAATATCTGTAAGACATAATATAACAAAAATGTATCATGGACATTGTTTTTTTTTTTACAAAATAAAAATATTCAATTAGATACATTGGTCAATCGGTTTGTTGGGGAAATAAAAATCGGGAAAAGAATAACTTGTCAATATGTCAAAATAGTGAAACATTAAATGGTGTAATGAAAAAAACCGTAACGTGTTTTCGAACAAATGAAACAAAATCTATACAATAAAAATCTAAAAGTTTTCGGAGAAAAAAATTCTGTAAATCATGTTTCCAGCTTGTGATAGGTAACCTTTCTACCACAGTGTAATAGGAATTGGTTGGACTGTGCTTTTCCTGAGCCTGACATACTGCACTTTAATACACTGTCTTTATTCTATGTGTCTGTTATTTAAGAATTAATACCATACCCAAGTGGAGTAGGTACTATGCTATTTATCTAATGTCTCTGCATAAATAACGAATTTTGCTGTTTTTGTCCCGAACGTGCGAACGAGCTCGGAGAACGGATTCAGAGATTTAGATTCAAAATATTGAAAATTTGAGTGTTGAAGAAAGTTCACCACTATTAGAATACGTATGTAATTCCTATTGGGTCATGCATCGTGGCAAACTATGACTAAACCCTCTCTTCAGAGCATAGTTTCCTAAAGTGGTCCCTATCGCCCTCCAGTGGGCGGTGAAGAGTCCTAGGGCGGTAGGGGTCTTGGAAGCAATTGGGGCGCGTGGACGCTGTCCAGGGGGTGCTACCGCATTAAAAAAAAACCTGTATTATCTACATAAACTACACTACATATATATTTTTTTTCCTTGTGATTTTTATGTTAAGTTAATATAAAAATATGTGTTTGGGAGTTGAAGTTTTTTTATCTTGCCTAAGTGGGCGGTGAGCCAAAAACTTTGGGAATCTGTACTTTAGAGGAAACCTGCGCTCAATAGTAGGACGCATAATGGGGTTGAATGGTTATGACGATGAGGTATAAAAGTCAACAAACTGAAGAAAAAAGTATTATAAACGTGCTACTGTAAAAAGATAGTTTATATTGATTAATACATTGGTAAAAAAAGTTAATGCATATTATAGGTTAGTGTCCGGCAAATTAGGAATAACCTCCTACGATATGTTGAAGACTGGGCCGTTTGGAGGAAATGTAAATTAAATATACTTTATTTAACTAGGTAGGTAAGTGAGTACTTTTAATACCAAATTATTTATTTATTTTCCTTTAAAAAGGTTTTGCGCAACGGCTTGATAAAGTCATATAATTTTGTAGGTAGGTAGGTACGTACGTGTACAGGATCAAGGGCAAGAGTTAAATTCAATTTATAGGTACAGCTAGCGATATGAACGGTCTAAATTCCAAAGTGTCAAACTTACTGTGTTGTTCATACTTACTTCCTATTCAACAAGGTTCTGAAATTACAAAAAGGATGTAAGGAAAAATCATATTTGCGAAAGACCAACAGTAGTAAAAGTAGAGCAACATTTTGCTTTTGCTTATGATTATGCGTACGGTGCTAATGCTTACGCTTTAGCACCGCCTTTATCCATATCAACAAATACATATTAACAACCAAAGGATGGCCTAGCAATAAGCTTGATTAAGTGTCTATAAATGGAAGCAGTCAACACTACGATGGGTACTATTCCCATATCACACCTAGCGGCCAAGCGGCCGCGGAATTCAACGCAACACATTAGATACAATACAATCCTTTAGATAAGAGCAAGAATATTTTTATTTTGACATTATTATAATCTTATTGGTAGTAGCTAAACAGAAAACAAGAAAATTCAGAAAAAATATTTATTTTGTACAAAAATATGAACAATAACAACAACAATTTGCATTTTTAATATACACTCGTAAAAAGTGTTATGAAACACAAGGTGATCAGTGCTTGCCGTGATGGAATCCCCAGCTCTTGTGATCATCATGACCACCCTTCTTGCCATGGTCGTGATGGCCATGATGATGTTCCTCGTGTCCGTGGTGTCCTTTGTGACCGTGGTGGCCCTCATCGTGATGCCCCTTGTGGTGGTGCCCGTGATCGCCATGGTGACCCTCGTGGTGGCCTGAGTGGTGTGAACCGCCCTTTTTATGGCCGCCGCCATGAGACCCGTGATGTCCGTGATGATGGCCGTGCTTGTGGTGCTTACCCTCATCATGGTGGCCATCGTGGAAGTGGTGGTCCTTGTGAAAGTGATCCTTGTGGTACTTCTTGTGGTACCCATCGGTATGTTCACCTTTATCATGGTGCGACTTGTGGCCGTGCTTTCCTCCCTTGTGATGATGCCCGTGCTCGTGATGTCCACCGTGGTGATCGTGTTCGTCCCAGTGCTTTTTGTGACCGCCACCGTGCGCATGGTGGTGTCCCCCATGATGGTGTTTGCCGTAGTGACCGTGGTCGCCTTTGTGGTGGTGATGATGCCCCTTATGGCCCTTGTGGCCGTGGCCGCCGTGTTCGTGGTGATGATGGGCATGGTGGTCGTGGCCACCGCCACTCTCGTGGTGATGGCCGCCACCGCCGCCACCGCCGCCACCGCCGCTTTTATGGCTGGCAGCTACGGCTTGGTCCTCAGCTGCCTCGTGAGCGACACATGCCGTTGCCAGGCAAACCACTCCTAGCACTAACAAAGCCTTCATATTTACGAGGGTACTTCCTTAGTAGGTATCTACCGAAAGGAAGTCCGGCTGTAACTGACCTCTGAAACGTTGATTGCCTATTTATATTATCAAGTGGTAGCACTGCAGTCTGGCGGTGGAGAAATTATTCCGCAAGCTACTAGTTCAGGGACAAATGATAAAAAGCAACATCGTTTCATTTGCGCGGTTGTTTCATCGAGGAAGCAACTAGTATTAGCAAAGAAGCGGTAACGTAGCGACTATTTACTCTAATGAAATTGATTTATCAATATGTGCACCGGATTGTAATTAAATATTTAAGTGTTTTATTTATGTATTGGAAGATAATCGACGTAGGCATGTATTGAATAGAGATATCTGCATATCTACAACGTTACGTAGGTACGTAAGATTGCGTTTAGTTACCTAGGCACCTAACTACACATTCATTTATTCAATATTTAATTCTTCTTTTTTTCGTTTCTCATTGACATAAAAGAAACCTCTGCTCCGGCCACGGCTGACTGATTTAGTATACATTGGAACTTTACCTACATATTACTTATTTGTCCGAGATTGTTAAGATCGACACGCCAAAATCTTCATTCATCATACTTACACTTGATTGACAGTTTATAAACTCGGAACTATCGAAAATTATCTGCTTAGCGAATCCTTTAGCGTTCCAGGCACCGCTATTTGGATAGCGTTAAACAATTCTTCCGAATGACTAACCTCGGTTAATCCACGCCCTTGTTGGCTTATGGCTGGAATCTTTTCTGTGTAATGTATTTCTGTTTGGGTATTCAGTTTGATTATACACGCTTATGAGTTCATCGCGGTGTAAACAGATCAGTATATTTACATATGCCTTTGTAGGTTTAATTTTTTTTTAGAGAATATTTCATTTTTTTTATGTTTATGAATGTCACTAAGTTTTACTACTATGATTTTTTTGTGTTGCTTCACTAGTATGTTGTAATTATTAATATAAAGGTCGATTAAGAAAAATTCCTTCGGTCCGACTGGATTCGAACCAGCGTCTTCAAGCATACTATGCCAGACAAAAGTAGTTAAAAACCAAAACAACAGATCTGCAACAAGCACATTGAAGTTTTAATTCGTAAGGTCTGGTGGTTCGTTCCGCAGCTCAGTTGGGAGAGCGTTTGAGAAATATTTGTATTAACATGAATATTTCTTATTAATGTAATATATTTTTACCTTTTGTCATAGCGCAGCGTATTTTCGTATACTTATAACTAAGCACTTTGTAAAAAATTAGGTATCACACATTTTGTATATAGATACGTAATAGTAAAACGAAGTAATTAAATGAAGATTCACGCACAAATTGTGCAAATTTACTATGGCGATGGTTGCAATTATTCTATTGTTACAACGTCTGCTCCGATGGATGATCAAGAATTTCACGATCGATAAATGTTTCCGAAAGTGTGGCAACGTAATGCAGGTCAAGTACATTAACTGAGTCGCTTTTATATCTCGCAGAACTTCGTGTAGTCGCCGAGGGTTATAGTTGTTCTTATCTACTGTACTGTCTTTGTTGGTCAGTAAGTAGGTAGTAGGTACTGATTTACAGTGGGTAAAAATCGAAATCTACACTTCTAAATACCTTTATATACGAAAGGAAATTGTATTTTTAGTCATCAATTCTAACGTCTACATTTATTTCTCTGGTAAGATTGGGTGTAATTTATGGTTGTCTATTTGTGTGTGGCTACGAATGTGTGTGTAATTATTATTATTATTAAAATCACATAATTATTATTATTATTAAATTAAACACTACAACGCATTCGATATAGGAGATCAGACGACGCGTAAGAATAAGTCTACTCTCTCTAATTCTGGGGATTGCAGTTTGGAACATATTTTCATATCATTTACCTTTGTAGGTGGTAGGTGTGTTGTCACAGACGACTCCTTGTGGTTAATACGACTTTTCTCATATATAATTAGAAATAAAAAATTAAACAAAAATTGTATAACAACGAACTGCTTGCAACTGTTTTAAATTTAATAAAAGGCAAATTTGGAATACTTATCAACAGAGACCTTATTAGATATAGAAACGTACCTATCTATGCAATTGCTCCTTAACTGTGGTTTTGTGGAGACCACTATTAAAGACAAGAAGTTCCAGTTTATTTGTGTTCCTTGTGTTGTAGTATAAAAGATTACTTTCATAACATAACATAACAAGGTTTATTGCTTCAATCTTATATTTCAGAGAAAATCGGGTACCAATTTGTAACTACCTGAATTGCAGCACGACTCAACAAAATAGTTTTTATTGTATCAGCGGTAATTTCTCCAAAGCAAAATACCGTATAATAATAAACTATGGAAATACTTAGGCTCAACGTTTGACTCCGCATAGGGTACGGTGGACGCCATTCATTTTTTATTAAAAATTGTATGCTTCTAATTGGATACTGAATTGTAATTCAGTATCCAATTAGAAGTTTATAAAATTACAATTAGTTACTATTAACTTTTTAACTTAACCTGTGGTTTAATATATGGCATATAGCTAAAATGTAGCATACCTATATATCTAATGGAGATTTTTTTAATGAATGACACGTAACACAGTGCAACGTAGGTAACACGTAACCAAATGCAAGTGCAGTGTAGTAAGTAGGCAATGTTTGAAACTTGTATCTTTATTTGTTGTAGGTAATTTTAATATCTATCAATTTTTAAGTTTTCTTAAGTGTGGAATAACTTGTCTCCAAATTGTATAGACTAAGGTCGCCCGGTTAACATACAGTAAGATGGTGTTGTCTTGGCTTGGCGCATATCGTAGAGTCTCATTCGTAGATAGTTACTTTTAAGCAACTTCAAAAAGGAGGAGGTACTCTCTTTTTGTGTGTATGTTACGCGACTACTCTAACATTTGTTACCCGATTTCGACGATTCTTTTTTTGTTGGAAAGGGAATACCTCAGTAGTAGTCCCATCCAAATTCGAAGAAAATATTCCAGTTCTAAAGGCGGCAAATTAGACAATGAATCCGGTTTGTTGAAACCCACTTTCCGTAGAACTTGGCACGTACTTAGACGTAGGTAATTCCAATGAAAATAAAACACAGCAAAAACGGATAAGCCAACTTTTGAGGTCGGTTTTCTTTTTATATAACCTCAGTACAGAGTACTAAAAAAACCAACCTCAAAAGTACGTGGAATTACATATAATTACCAAGTTTTATTGAAATCGGTTACCGGAAAGTGCGCAAACACGGATTCATCCCCTAGTTCGTCACTATACGGGACTTGGCACAGGAGATAATAAAAATCGGTTGTTACTACTTAAAGTATATTGAGAGAGAAAAACGCCTTGAATTGGATAATAGCAAAATCAACCATTAAAATAATTGCTCCTTATAATAAAATTTAGGCGCTATTTATAAAAATGAATCTTTATGGGTGAACAGCCCTCCTAGAGGTGGATGATTTTCTTCAAAATTAAATGGGACCACTATGGAGGTACCCTCTTTCCAACAAAAAAGAACCATGAAAATCGGTTCACAAATACTGGAGTTATCGCGTAACATACATACAAAAAAAAACATACAGTCGAATTGAGAACCTCCTCCTTTTTTTAAAGTCGGTTAAAAATAGAGTAAAACCGGGGGAGATGGCCATAGGTTTTTCTAAACGCTGTCAAAATAAAATTTTAGATATTACATTGCAAATCTTTATTTCTGATTAAACTTTGAACAATTAAATATTTAACAGAAAAAAAGCACAAATTTTCTTGAGTGGTCTCCTCCGTGGTACCTTAAAATTTGTTTAAAAAAATTACGATTGGCCATCTCTTCCGAGGTGTCCGGGTGTGATGACCATAGGACTATGGGTAAGATGGCCAGTAATTATTTCTAGACTTAGATAGGTTTTTTAGGCTTTTACTTGGTGTTTTGTTATTTTAAGTCTTCTTTTTTCTTCATGTCGTCAAATTCTCAGTTTTCTTGAACTCAAAAGTGGCACACGACGCTTTGGAGCCAGTCTACGATGAGGCGGGTTTCACAGCAGCAGCAGCTTTAATAGCTATGAGTTCTTAGGTTTTCGCGATTGTTACACTTATAAAATGAAACTATTTTTCCGGATTTACATCGGGTATATTTGTTTTTCAAACAAACCAAAATTTCGGGGCCTTTACAAGTATTGGGACATTTCCTAAGCATTAATAGCTGCTTTTAATGATTTTTCAGTGTATTTCCCTCTCATTGCGGCTACCATAGATTTATGGGTACCTATATACTAAATCTATGGCGTCTACTTTTCTTTTGTATTTAGTATGCATCTAAAACAAGTTCAAAAATAAATAAATTATTTTATTAATATTTTAGACTTTTGTGTGATCGGTGTAAGTTGGACACATGGCCATCTTACACTGATTTTGATTGGCCATCTGTTCCAATATTCCGGAAGAGGTGGCCACACATAAAATTTAAATAAGAAAAAACATGATACGTAAAATTTTGAGCTTATAACAAAACATTGGATGTGGACTAAGCGATAAATACAAAAATAAACTTCATTGTGATGTAAAACATGAACCCTCCAAAACAATTAACAAGGTTTTTACTTACTTTTAATTTCAATTTCAATTTCAATTTATTGCTTCATATAAAAGTTTACAACAGTCTTATACTCGTATAACATGTGAGTCCTTAATATATGATACCCTGTAAGGGCATAGCAATATGCAATACAATAGCAAGAGGATACCCAAACCAACAACAATTTGGAAAAATTTAAATGTGCTAAGCTCTTACACTTTTTCTAAAAATACTTATACTTTTATACAACAATTATTGCATTTGATTTAAAATAACATAAAATAACATAAAATCAAACCATAGTAATTATTACAAAATGTCAAAAATTAAATTAAATTAAATTAAATTAAGTCGTGATAGTTGATTCTAATATTATATTTTAAAATTTCTATTCTAATTAAATTTTAATTTTTTCTTTTTTTTACTCAGCATATTCG